GACATTCTTTTTTTTTTTTTTTTTTTTTTTTTTGCGGTTTGGGGGCCTCTCCTTTTCGTTGCCTCTCCCGTTGTGGAGCACAGGCTCAGGACGCGCAGGCTCAGCGGCCACGGCTCATGGGCCCAGCTGCGCCGCGGCATGTGGGATCTTCCCGGACCGGGGCACGAACCCGCGTCCCCTGCATCGGCAGGCGGACTCTCAACCACTGCACCACCAGGGAAGCCCAGTACCATGAATCTTGAAGGAACTACTTGACCATGAAATCCAGCCAATTAAGAACCACATCAAAGTAAAAACTTCGGGAATGGAAGTGCAAAAGGCTGGGGAATAAAAGGCCTAGTGGTAAGCACCATGTCATTCATGTCCTTTAAAGATAGCATGGGTATTAAACTAAGGGTTATGGTTAAAGACAAATTGTGAACATCGTAAACCCAGACGCTGTAAAGATACAACACAACCCCAGGCAGGAGGTGGTGAGGGGGCATAATGGGAACGACTGTGAGTATTCTAATCTACTCAGCTTTCAGCCCCGAATCAAATTCTGCCCAAAAGTTTAACAATTCCTCCTGTTTTAGTCTAGCTTCTTTCATCAGCTGAATTTAAGTAAAATTAACTTGAGATTTTTCTAAAACTAAAAAAATACCGGATCTAGAGTATTAACCCATTCTGTACATCTCTCTGGCTTTCCTTCTCTTTTCTCCTTATATGTAGTCGGATATCTGAAATGATGTTCATCTTAATGCCAAGATGGCTATTTCTGGGTGATGAAATCTGTGGTGACTTTAAATATTTTTACCTTTCTGGCTCCCTGCGTTTTGAATTATTTACGAGCATATGCCGTTACCCATTTTTTACAAAAATAGAGTAGATTTTCTTTAAAAATATGCCCTGATTAGTTAATGACCAATGTTGATTCTGGGTGGCAGGAATATAGACACAGGTTTTCCCCTGTACTGTTTTGTGCAGGTGAGGGGTAAGAGGAGATGGCGCTGGACGCTGGGCACAGACCACTGCTGGGGATCTACGTGGCCTCACAACCTCTTCCCCTCGCCTCTCTCCCCTCCCCCTGGCTCGGGGCTGGCCCTGGGACCTGGCTTGACCGATAGAATGCGGTGGAAGTGCCACTGTGAGTCTCCTACGGTAGCCGTAAGGGAAGCGCAGGTCTGCCCTCACCTACTTGAACCCCGCTCTTAGACAGCAGCTTCCACGTACAAGGTCTGACTGCCCAGAGAGCGAGGCGACATGGGGGGTTCTGGACCCACCCTGGATGCCGCAGCCCCGGGCCAAGCTTCCTGAAGAATGTATGTTGACGAGGCCCCCAACCCCCAATGCTACACATTGAGCAGAAGACCCGCCCAGCCCAACCCTGCCCACGTCTCTGATCCAAAGAATCGTGGGCACATAACAGAGCTGTGGCTTTAAACTACCCAGTTTTGGGGTGATTTGTTCTACAGCAGAGAGAGCTCTTTATAGAAGCTTGACTCTGCAGGTGAGGAGTGGGCTAAAGCAGTAAGTGATGAAGACCCTTTGCTCTCGAGGTAGGGTGCACTGCGGCATGAAAGACGCGCTCGCGTGACTGCGCTTCTTCTGCTCTAACTCCTTCTGCGCCCCAGGAATTCCATTCTGTGAGAGGCCTCGCTTCTGAGCCACAAGGCTCGTGCCTGCTGTGAGTCTCGGCTGCATGACTCCCTTATGACCACTGGGTTCCTCTGGGCTAACGAAGGCTCTTCCTTTTTTACCAGACACTTTTTATTGTCTCTTATTGTAAAACTGTTGTTATAACTTGAAGTATAGAGCTAAGATGAAAGAAGAAAATTACCACAAATTCCACCACTCAGAGATATAACCACGAGTAAAATTCCGATGTGTAATTCCAGTCTTTTTTTCTCTTTATATGTACTTTTTTTTTGGCAAAGATGACCTCGTATGTACCTACTGTCTTGTAAACTGCACTTTCATTGACAACTGTCTTGCGAACATCTTCAAGACCCTTAAATATCCTTCTCCAACATCGCTTTCAATATTGCTTAGTTTTCAGCTGATGTGCTACGGTGGAAAAGAAAGTATAGCAAGGGGACCAAAAATGCCGGTGCTGTGAATGCCTTTCACATGACGGGAGATCAATGAACAGTTATGAGATAAATGAGTGAGTGCTAGAATGAGCATCTTTTTGGCTAGCTAAAGCTCAGTGCAAGTTTTTAATTGCCACGTAGGGCAAATTCTGGAAATGGGTCAAAGCCTAGGCACGTCTCTCGGGCAGTGTAATAATGGTAGGTATTGCCAAATTATTCTCCGGAGATGTTTTATCGTGTTACACTACCCCAGACCGGTGGCCCTTTAATTGGGTTTCAGCGGCCTCCACTCGATACCTCCGTTTTCTCTGAAGACTGACTTTAATGAAAGGGCTCCTTACCCACGGGAACACTCTGAGGCCCTCGCCGAGTGAGCGCTGGGCCTTCTGTGCACTCTGTCCTCCACCCAGAAAGTGGGGTGAGGCACACTTCATAATGAGCACGCAGACTGTTCTTATAGCGAATATTTAAACACAGTAAGACCTAATACTACAAAGTATTAGGTCCATACGAGCTTACTTGAATCTACATGCAGGCAAATGTACTTGGTCTCAGAAAACCAAATACAAGCCTCGGGGTGACTCTGTCTCTCTCTGAGTATCTCTATCCCTCCATGTATCTGCGTGTACAAAACACTCACACACAATTAGAATGTCCAGATCAAACAGCTGTTGCAAAAGTGCTGTCATCATTCAGGCAGACAGGGAATCAGAGTGACGACACCCTGACTTGGTTACGCGCTTGGTCACCGATTCACTTTCACAGACAATGTAGATGCAGGGGTCTGGTGTAACGGTTAATAGCTGAGGCTGTCATGTCAGAAGACCGTGACTTGAACCTGGCTCTGACAGTTATCTGGCCATCTGACCTCTGGCTGGTTACTTCACCCCAGAGCCTCAGTTTTCCCATCTGTAAGATGGGGATGATAGAAACACTCTTCCTCATAAAAATTACTCATAAAGCTTAAATGAGACAAGGGAACGTGAGGTGAATGAAAATGTTTGGTAGAGAGCCTGGGACATACTACTTGTTGAAGAAATATCAGCTATTATTCCTATTATTTTTTGTGACACAGCCTAAAAAAAATCGTGCAAGGCAACAAGTGCTAATCCATTAACTATCTGATATAGGTTAGTGAAAGAAAAAGTCATTCACTTTATCCATAATCTACGTGAGTGAATCAAAACTCAACTACATCTTATCTACATTGTGATTTTAATTATTTTCAGGTACCTATGTTTTGGTCATTATATGTCATAAATATAATATAAATATGTACATATATATATATATATATACTGCCATCTTTTAACTTCAACTTCAGTCTTTATGATTAGACAGTCTGTTGGAAATTAGGGTCAGAATGTTTTTCCCTTTTGTTAGGTGAATGGATTAAAACTACAGAAAAATTAATTAAAAATAGGCAGTTATACTAATTACATTTCTTTCAAGATGTTTTAATCTTTGAGAAACAGTACTGGAAACTCTGTTGTTATGAAGTAAATGAATGTTCCCCTTTTGCATATATTGGGATTCAATTACTTATTTAAAATGTGGAAATTACCTACCACTCGGTATCTGGGTATCAAGTGGAAAAGAAACTCATGTAAAATGAAATTTTTATATAGCAAAAGAATTTAAATAAAGTTGTAACTCAGTTCATGCAAAGCAAAACAGTTCTACAGATCCATGAGTACTTCCTCTGCATCTATAAATGAAGAGTTTCAAAGATTTGTAAAAATTACCAGAATATGAAAAAGAAACATCTTTTTTTGTCTCATCACACGTAGAGGGAGAAAACGCTCACAGATGGAAAAATACAGGAAAAATCTCATTAACGACAAAACAAGTCGTCACCTCTAAAGTGAGGAGGCTGGATATACTTGCCTCTAAGGTTTGGTCCATGTCTTAAGGTTTTTCTTGTATTCAGTGCTGTCCAGGCTTAAAGGGTATATACAACAAAGCAACTGACATTAAGACTGACTTCTCCCTAAATTACTCAGATTGCCTACAATAGGCTAGAGAAAAGAAAGATGGAGGGGTTAGGCAGAAAAAGGCAGTGACCCAAATGTCTCTTTTATTTTTCTTTGCTTTGTATGATCACATACTTCAAGCATTGTTATAACAAAGTAAAATGACTGAAAAATAATCTTTTGCTGGGAATTCTTTAAAAAATGTTTTGTTCTCTTTTAAATCTTATTTATAAAGGTTTCCAGATGCTTATCCTCACAGATTAAACACAGCATGATGTAGACATTTACAAAAATATTCACTGCTATGAAGCCAAGAAGAAACTACTTTGAGATCTAACTGCCTATCACCTAAAGAATCGGGGTCCAGGGGATTTTCTGTTGCCATTAAAGGTGTGATCCTCTGAAGCCACTTGGAAACAACCTAGGCTCTCAGCAGCAACACAGTACGGTGTCCAAGCGTATCAGATGGTTGGCATTCCAAACCTCCAACAGGTTCTTTCTCATTATGCGAATCCATAATGAAAGGATGTGGGCAGAGAACAGAATGTAAACTGGAAGCTGACTTCTGAATTCATTAGCCAGCAGTCCTGGGCTAAAACAGTCATTCTAATTTCAAGAGACAGCTCCAAAGTGGTTCTCAAGAGAAAGGACAGGGTATTTTTCAAATATTTGTTCAATGTGAATGGACTGGGCTCGCCCCAAGTGACTTTTTCCGCCGGCATGTGATCTTTTAGAGGGAAGGCAGCCTGAGTCACTGGCTACATCAAAGTTAGAGTCCAGTGAATGGATTACTGCAGGCTGTGTGAGCAAGCCAGACGCCTGCGTTCATCCGCCCACTGCTGGGGTTTCAGCCCTCCTTCTAAGTACATTAAAGCGGCTGGTGCCACTGGTTACTGGGGCCTCCAGGTTACCTTGATCGCTCGGTCATTCTCCCTCAACAGCTGCTTCTTCTCACCTTCAAACTTCTGCACAGCGTCCTGGAGCTGCCCTTCTGCAGCGAGCCGCTGCCGGCTGCTCTCCTCTTTCAGAGAGGAGATGGTCGTCTGAAGCTCTGCTATGACCTAAAGTGAAAACAGCATGCTGTAGCTTCACGTTCTTCAGTGAGAGGCCTCTACCTTATATGTATTTATGCTTCACGAAAGAATGGATTTGGCAAAGCTCTAGTCCACAAACTAAATATTTTCAATTAATGTATCACACACACTAACGCATGAAATTCCACACAATAAAAGACTACAATGAAACTGTGAATGGTGAACAACTGCTGAACCAAATATACTTGGAAGCCGTTCCCACTATAACATGCCACAATGTTTACTCATCAGAGGAAAGGACATCTGTGATCTCAAAACTATGAAATGTGTCAGGATTCATTTTACTGAGAAACATACTTGTTAGAGCGAAAAAAAAAAACGATTTTGCCTTTCGTAATACTTTGAACTCTAATAACCAAAGAAGATCATGAACAGAGTTCATGGTTCATAGTCACCTAATTCTACACAATGATTTTTGAGTGTTTACTAACGCTTGCGGACTGTGCTAAGCACCTCGGTTCCTGTGTCAGTTACTACCGTGTGACACGCACTGTCACTGCCCATCTTTTATAAATGGAGAGGCAGAGGCAGCGCAAGAGGTCAACCTGTGACCTTGCTGAAGATGCCATGCGACCAGGAGACAGGCAGGATGCGAACCCTGCAGACAGGTCGAATGCTGTACTAGTTGGTTCCTCTTAACTAGCTACTACTTTGTCTTCCTTTTAAACAAGGTTTTGGTATTGAAGAGAAGTTTATTATGATACGGTTCCAAATAGGTTGCTTTCTTCCTAACTGATATATATCCATGAAAGTTTATTTTTGGTTCAAATGAGTCATTTCACAGGCTCCCGCAGTACTCGCTACATTTGAGAACCGGGTCTCCTCATGACTGGGTTCCCTCCATGGTCTCAAAGTAAATCGGATGAGGGACCTTTTCTTTAATAGGTTTACTGAGAGCACTGCTCTTCCTTTGGTTTGGATGTATCCATTTCCTTTCAAATTCAATCGTGATTGACCTTTCAAAAGCAGGAAATGGTTGTTTCTTCTAATAAAAGAAGCAACCTTGGTCCTGGGTTAGAACTTTATGCTGTTGGGTCTATAGGAGAAGGGCTGACTGGTGAGAAACACTGAACCAGTTAGTACTATATTTTCCTTGAAGCTCAGTTTTTCAACTATTATTTGATGACAAAACTAGATTACAGTATCATAAGGCAGTAAATAGAAAGTGTCTGGAGTCTTCCAGATGCCAAGTGCTACAGAAGCATTAGTTGTTACTACTGACATAAGTAGCATATTTACCCAAAAAAGGAACATTTAAGCTTTGAGAAGTGAGCAAACTCACTGTAACAAAGGTTAACACTTAGAATTTGTAAATAATCAAATATAAAACCAGTGTGAAATAAATGACAAAATATATTAATATTTTTAAATGCAAATCTGAACCTTCTGCAATGAGAAGAGGGATTCATTTACTGAGAATGAAGATGTTTTCATCTGTTTTCTGAATTTTGATTAAGTGTTTCCATTCTGGCTGCAATTCAGTTAATTCTCATAGCACTTCTATGAAACAGGGAAGGTTAAATTCTTAGAGTAAATGTCAAAAACTGAGGCGCAGAGTCATCAGCTCACTCACAGTCACAGAGCAAGGGGAGCTGGAGATAAGCAACAGCCAGATTTCCTTGGCCCAGCATGAAACTTAAGAGTGATATTTTATAAGAACATGGGGCCAAATAGTAAAAATAACTATTGCAATGACTAGCGCAGTGTTTCAAGTTGAGTAAACTGAAACGTGGTAGAAGCGGTGAGTTTAATTCTGTAATGTGTTCAGTGTGTGTGTGTGTGTGTGTGCGCGCGCACATGTGTGTTTAGTTCTGTCACGCAATTTTATCACGTGTAGATTCGTATACCACCACCACGATTACACAGCGCATTTTTATGGTACAAAGTAATTTTGTGTCTTTAAAACTTAGTAAGATTTAGATTCGCTTCTAACTGACCAGGACTGAAGGTAAAAAATATTTGGGGGCTCTTCAAATGACCCCCAGGACATAAGACATGGATCTCTTCTTTTCAGAAGATTTATGACAGCGTACATCAAAAATAAATAAATGCAGGCTTTGGAAGGAATGACGGGCGAAGACCAGGATGCTCTAAGGAGAACACACTCGCTTTTGTGTAGAAAATGAAGCCTTAACGCTCTTTGCGGGAATAATGGAATTCCTTCGGGGAAACAATGAGATTATCTTTGGCAAGTTATATTTTAAAACTTATGAAGATGATATAGGGAGAGCGTCAAAACACTTCAGGTGAAACACCTCATATAGATAAGTGAATTGATAGACTGATAGACATGATGGATTTAGAGAGGCGGCTGAAATATGGATAATATTGGAAGCAGATCTGAGGTTTACTTTAAGATTGAGAAATAATCACACAAACTAGATGAATTGGGTCTTGGCTGTAGACCTAGAGTGTAAGACAACAGACTATTCTCTCCTTAGCTCAGGGCACACAACCGGCACTCGACAGGTATTTAAGTATTGGAACTATAATCACAGTGAATAAGAAAAAATAATTCCCTGGCAAATTATATTGAGATAATTTAGTCTTTTCATAGAGTAATAATGTAAAAAGTTTCTGAGAAAAAGAAAAACTGGCCTGTGCAATCATACTCAAACACCACCGGGCTTGACTGAATCATATTAAAAATCGTAAGACAAAACGCTGCCACTCAGCTAAGTGTCTATCCTGTATTAGCTCCAGAGAAGGAAGTGGATGAGAGCATTTCCATATGGATATTCAAGCTTAAGATCTGGGGAAGCAGAAGGAAAGTTATTTGGGGCTAATGCTGTAAGCAACCGAACCAACGAAAGCTGTAACATTTCGTCATATTGCCAAGCAATTTCTACTTTGCATAAATGTCAGTGGGCTTCTTAGGTCTTAAAAATAACAGGATTCTAGATAGAGGTTCAGATTTCATTTTTAACTCTCTTGTTTTTTAGATCATAGTAGAGTTTGAGATTTTCATAAAACTCTTCTTTAAAATACACCGGACAGGGCATACATGGCAAGGTTTGGCAAACATTGAAGATCCCTAGAAAATAAGTGGAAGAGGGGCACCCGTGCCTTCTGGGTGGCCACCCTGAAGAGTGGCAGGGAGGGGGGCATATGGGCACGGGGCATGAGCCCAGGCTCTAATCTGCGCCAGTGGGAGCTTGGGGGCCATGTGGGGGGACGTCGGTCCCTCGGCGATGGGCAGGCTCTGCTAGCATTTCTCCGCAGCTACCTACATTCCTGCAAAAATGGCAATAGTTTTCTTTGAAAAATGACCACTAGGTAAGTCAGATGAGTGGGGAAAACCACATGAAAGACGAAAAGGCAAGGTTAATATGTAATATTAAGATAAAAAAGAACAAATACGCGATTCTGATGGAAGTTATATTTGGGAGTGTTCTCAGAGATGGTGCCACCGTTGCCATCAGGGTGAACACCGAGCGACCCAGCAGGGGTGCCGTCCTGGGCCTGTGAGCGTTCAGAGTGCATGGTCTACCAGGTCCTGGAGCTTGATAAAATCTTAAAGGTGAAGTGACTTCCTTTAAGGGAGTAAAATATTTAAAATATTTTCCAAATTTAACCTGATGCTTCCCTAGGTACCAGTGTATCCATCACTAATGCACTCATCTTATTACTTTTTTTTTGAGAGGGATTTAAAAAAATCTGATAAACCGTTAAGCAGCTTTGCTTCGGGCACCCTCCTCAGCCGAGACACGAGTTCGAGATTCCAGCAGACTATCACTGGGAAACAGCAGAAGTCCATCCACAGTTCTGTTGCATAAGGTTTATTTTCAAATAATCTGTTTCTCTGAACTGACTTTATTATAGACAAGTGTTTCTCAAATGCCAGTTCACAGATATAAACATATACATATATTTATATGCATATAAATATTTATATTATTTAGAGGTGGGCAAACAAAATGTTTGTAATGTAAGGTCATCCTACCTCTTATGAGAAGGTGGACTATCTTGTATCATGTTATTCTATCTTTTCTAGGATTTTTCTTTTTGGGTGTTGCACTGCCCTTTCATTTATGAAGGGTGGCCACAGCTCATGACACCAGCTGATGTCTGCTCCTACCTCCTTCATGTCCTTACACGGGGAAATATCCAGCAACCCTTTGCCTCTCCAAATTCTGCAGGGAGATTTTATCAGTTCTTGAACACCCAGAAATAAATTTAAAATACATAATTTCTTGCTCCTTCCATACATTTTTCATTCTTTGCTCCCCCTTTCCTTCCTCCACTGAGATTTCGTAGGCTCCTATAAGAACTAATGGCTGTTAAATGCTTTACCGTGTCCTAGGCCCTGTGCTAAGCACTTTTCTGGCATTGTGTTGAGGTAAGTATACTACTCCCCCATTTTACACATGAGGAAACCGGATTCCAGAGAGAGCAGGTCACTCGCTCAAGGTCACGCAAGTGGTGGGGCTGGTATGCGGACTCCAGAGCTTAGGCTTTCTTTCCCCCAGCTTACATTTAACCTGCTTTAATATGGACTCATCAGGCTTCTTCACACCTTCCTTTAGGTAAAACTTAGATACTCTCAGTGTTTAAGCATTTCTATCAGCTATTTTGTACCTCGCTTTTGGTCTACCTCCGCCATTTAACATAAAGCAAAATAAGCAGGATGTAAGGGTATGCCAGCTGGGTTTTTTCACGTTTTAGTTTAGCTTTTGGAGTAATAAGATTTCTTTTGATTATAAGAATCTCTCTCAGTGGATTAAAAAGGATATTTCCCCATGTTATTTCCTGGAATAATGGCCCTCGAGACATCACCGTCATCTTTTAGATAAACACGTTCGTCTTCACTTAGACAAAGACTTTTTGCTTTCCTAATGGGATGTGAATTATATAATATATGCACATTTTAGAAATAACTGTAGAACCTAAGCAATTTCATAATTATCGGCAGAGTTTTGCCATATTAAAAACGTGAGGGGTTGGGCCAGACTTGGCGGTGTCAGGTTGAGACCTTCCGTTCCAATGTCGAAGACAGGTTGGGTCCTGGCTTAGTCACTTGCTAACCTGCGTGACCTCACCTCTCTGAGTCTCAGTTTTCTCAAACGGAAAAATGGGGCCAGTAATAGTTTCTAATCCCAGAGTTCCTGTGAATGAAACTGAATGAATCAATATGATTAGTGCCCCATAAAATTCTTAATTTCATTATCGTTTTGTTGTAGCGTTGCTAGTACTACCACTGTGTACATACATTTCAGTTGACTGCCACATCTCACTATACATGGCAAAAATACTAAGAAAAATTGATTTTAAAAATCATCAGATATGATGTCCACAAAGTGAAATGGCTTAATCTATCCATCTGTAAGATGAAAATTAGCCTTGTATTTATTCCACAATGACTCATACGACTAAGGAATGTTTGGAATTCCCTAGATGACGCCAGAGGACATCATTGTAACAACTTGTGCAGAAGAAGGCCTCCAAGCATCGTGAGTCAAGTCGAGACACGTGTTCAGTGTTCGGCCTCTACTGTAACGACTATGGTAACAACATCCAGCAAGATGTGAATGCTGACCCTTGTAATTCTTCTTTTTCCCAAAAGGAGTCAACAGTTGAGGTGCTAATTTAACCCAGTATACTTGCCATTTTGAATCCTGTTGTTAAGCAGTCTTTAGGTGCAGCAAAATGGCATACTGCAAAAGAAGCACAGATGGTATCAAACCGCTTACATCACAAATGTAGGTGTGTATCTCCAGCCCTTGGGAAATGTGTTTCAGCCTGGACTTGTTCAGGTACACAGGCTGGTTTTACAACATCTGAGTGTGTGTGTGAGCGTGTGTGCGTGTGTGTGTCAGTTCAAAGGGTTCAATATGCCTGATTTTAGAAAGTTGAGACTGAAATAGTAATAGCGTCTGCATACTCCTCAAAACTATGATACTAACCCGTAAAAACTGAAGAGACTCACATCTAGCTCTAAAGTACAAGTGCTTTTATGGTAGGTTTCTTTCTTGTTTGTTTTGGTTTTGCTCTTTTTTTCTTTAAAGCTCTTACCTGTGAGGATTTGGCAAGCTTCTGAGTGTATTCTTTCTCAGTCTGCTTCAGCCTGCTGTTGGCCTGAAAAACACATGCAATGAACACACACACAGTGACCTGTGAGGTTGGTATCTCTCGCACACGCCTATCACCAGGCAGCTGGGATGGCTGCCAGCTGCACCGCCCTTCTGGGGCAGCCAGAAAACCACAGGGCTTGCCTTTGATCTAACGCCAACTATTCATCACTTAAAAAGCAAAAAGCAAAAGAGAAAAAAAAAAAGATCTCTCCTGCCAATTATTAGACAAACACAGACTTCTGTGGAAAGAGAAAGGGAGAAGGAGAGACAGAAATAGACCCAGCAAACGTGTGTGAAGTCAGGGAAGAGAGGAAACACAGGAGAAGGAAGAGGAAACGAGGGGAGAGGGAATCGGAGGTGGGGGAGGGAAGATGGTAAATTTAACACTCTTTCCCTTAGTTTAAAGAGAAAAGAACTAGACCCTCCTGGTGGAGGCTGATAGGAGATTTTAGACTCACTGAGCCAAGGTCTGAGCCCTACTCTGCCTGGCACACAAGAGCTCTTTTTTTGAAGTGACAGATGCATCTAAATCAAACAATTTCTATGGCCTGGAAGTAGGGAGGCCTTCCCAGAAGTCCACATTACTTAGAACTCCACGATCTCCTTCGCCACCCGAGTTCCCATCCTTTGTGTGTGACCTGCTTTCCGTCTCCCTGGAAGCCTCAGGATCTGCACTTTATCCTCCGTGTTCGGAAATGTCGCAGTGACTTGCCCTAGCCGGGCCTTTTTTCTCATCCATTGTGCAGGCACTAAACAGGCCCTTTCAATCTGCGCTCGTGTCCTGCATTTCTAGAAAAGGCTTTGGTCACTTCTCTCTTAATTTCCTCTCTTTCTCCCCCTGGTCTCTTTCTCTCTCGTCTCTCTGTCGGCCTGTCTCTGCAGCTCTGAATATTGGACCTCACAGGTTTAGCATCTTTTTCTTGTTGTTTCTATTTTCCATTACTTTGTCTTTTTGATCTTTTGTAGCAATTCTCGACTTTAAATGTTAAACTTTGTATTGGATTTTAAAGACTCCAGCTGTCCTGTTTGTAATTTCCAAGAGTTTCGTTGTTGTTCTCTGAACACGCCATCACTCCCCATTTTTAACAGACGAGGAAGCTGTGCCACAGAGAGGTTAAGAGAGCTGCTCAGCGGCGCATCTAGGAAGCGATGGAGCCAGGACCCGACCCCACGTGGCAGAGCACAAGCGCTTCACCGGCTGGAACACACGGCACAGGGCGTCCCAGAGAATCCCACTTCTCCGAGGTGACTGATTTCATACACACCTATACAATGTCTATACCTACACACACACATTTAAATTTTCTTTCTGTTCTCGAGAGTGTCTGTATTTTTCTTAGTTCCTTTTATTTCTTTGCTGTACCAGCCTGTTTTGGCCTCTGTTTTTCACTTTAGAAATTGTCCTCAATTTTTGGTGATCTTTGGTGTTCTTTCTTGTTTAAAGTGTGGCCCTCTAAAACAGGCAGGCTTGGGGACAGGTGGAGTCATCACAGGGTATCACTAAGGCTCCTGGACTCTCTCATACCGGTATCTGACTGGACACCCTTCTTGGACCCTTTTGCCCAGAGCTGTGCCCCCTGGTTTACCGCCTGGCGGCAGACGTCGGGCTGCCAGGGTATTCAGAAGGGTGCCTAGATGTTCACGATACTGATTCTTGTATAGCCCCGTTTTTATTTTAACCCTGAGCTATACCTGGGTCCCCTCTCTCATTCCATCTCTCCAGGGAGCAAACCAGGGGTGGACATGGAATAAATTCAAAGGCTGAAGCCCTAATACCAATGTGATGGTATTTGGGGTGAGGCTTCAGGAAGTGATGAGGTTGTGGGGGTGGAGCCCTCATGAATGGGATTAGCACCTTTATAAGAAGAGGCCAGTGAGCTAGTTCTTTCTGCCGTTTGAGGCTACAGTGAGAGGATGGCCGTGTGCAACCTGGCGGAGGGCTCTTACTAGAACTGGACCACACCAGCACCCTGATCTCCAACTTCCAGCTTCCAGAACGATCGGAAATAAATTTCTGTTCTTGATAAGCCACCCAGTTTGTGGTGTTCTGTAACAGAACCCAAGCTGACTAAGACAACAGCCGTGTGATTTATGAACTGAAGTTCACAAGCAGTTCTCTAGAGTTTATCCCATAAATCTCTTTGCATCTATAATGGTGCTGAATACACTGGGTAGTTTTGTTTTTTCCCGACTAGAGAGGGCTTGTGACTATTGCTGTTTTCTCTACTAAATCACCAGACTCTATTCTAGCTCTATGACTAATAAAGCCACTCTCTACTACAGAATCGAGGCCACACGGAGCCTCATGAGGGTTATTTGTCTTGCTTCACATCCTGCCAATACTTTTTAATCAAAAAATGCTGTTCATAAAGTACTTGTTGCTTATTTAATAAATACTTGTAGAGCTCTTACCCGGTGGCACACACTGTTCTAAAGGCTTTAAAAATACTTACTAGAAAATATGAAAATTATAGTGTCATAAAGGTTACTTTTCCCCAAAAAAGTTGGAGTCAGAGAGGCTGGTTAGTGTACGACATCCTGTGACGAAGATGCAGCTACTCTTCGAGAGTCTGAGGCTACTCAGCCCCAGAACCCCACAACCTCAGATAGAGTCTTTTACAATTAACCACCCAATTCATGCATTCATTCCAGGCAACCGGGACTAGAGCAGCGGACAAAACAGACAAAAATCTCTCCCTACCTTTATGGAACTTCTAACCTAGAGAGCAATCATATAACTTATCAAAGTGATAATATTTTAGATGGTGCAAATGCTATGAAGAAGGATAAAGCAAGAAAGTGAGATGGGAAGTGAGGAATGGTAGGGGGTAGTTTACAATTTAAAAAACATATTAGTTAGGGAAAGCCTCACCGAGAGGGTGATATATGAGCAGAGACCTGCAGGAGACGAGGGAGCCATGGTGAACTCTAGGGAAAGAGCTCTCCAGGCAGAAGGAGAGCCAGTGCAAAGGCCCCGAGGCAGAGGCATGCACAGTGTGTTCAAGGCACAGGGAGGATCTGTGAGAAGCATCTCCCTTGGACAAGATGAGAGAGAACGAGGGGCCAGATCCTTCATGGTGTTTGTAAGCAGCTGTAAGGAACGTGCGTTTTAATATGAGTGAAATGGAGAGTCAAGGAGGCGTTTTCAGTACAGGAGTGACATGGTTTCACATGAGTATTCATACGATCACTCTAGCTCTTGTTTCGGGCAAGAATCAGGCAAAGAAGCCAGTTGGGAATCTACCGCAAATAATCCAGACGGTGACAGAAAAGGTGGTGAGAAGTGGTCAGATTCTGAGAAAGATTTCAAAGTAGAACCAACTGGAAATGCTGCAAGATAAAGAGATGAACCAAGGATGACTGTAAGATTTTTGTCCTAAGCAACTAGAAGAGCGAGGTTGTCATTAACTGACCTCAAAAAAACTACACGTGGAACAGATTTGGGGGAAAGATCAAGAGATTGGTTTTGGACACATGAAGTTTGGAGATGCCTACTGGACACCTCGTGTTGAGGTGAACATTTGAATATGTTCAAATGTTCTGGAGTCCAGAGGAGAGGTCTAGGTTAGAAGTATAAATTCAAGTGTCACTAGTATATAAACGGCAGGTAGAACTATGCTACTGGAGGAGATCTCAAGGCACTGAGTGTGTATCCAAAACAGAAGTCTAAGAATCCTGAGCCCTGGGCCTGCAGATGTCAGGAGGCTGGAGATGGGGAGGAAAGTAAATGGAAGTAATGACCAGAGAGAGAAGGCTCAGGAGAGTGTGGGGTCCTGAAGCCAAGGGAAGACAGTGTTTCCACGACTAGTCAGCTGTGTTGGGTTCTACGGGGAGTCATGCGACGTGAGCGTGTGGAGGACAGTGGTGGCCTGGACATGAGTGATTCTGGTACAGCACCAAAGAGGAAAGCTGGATCGGAGGGAGCTCAGGGTAGGAGGGGGGAACTGGAGAAGACGAGACAAGTGGTCCACAGTTTTGTTACCAAAAAAAAAGGAGAGAAATGGGCTGGAAGTTGCGGGGGAAGTGAGTAAAGAAAGGGCTGATGGTTGTTTTCTTTTTTACAAGACGAGAGAGCAGCACGCATGCAAGATGATGGGAAAGGTCTGGCCGTAGAGAAGGAAAAGACAAATGATGCCAGAGACCTACTGGTGGCATGTCCTGGAGTGAAGGAGAAGGGGTGAGTTCTAGGGCACAAGGGGACAGGGTGGCCTTTGCTGGGAGTGCAGGTCAATTATCCCTGGTACAGTGGTGGGAACTTCTCCGTGGAGCAGGAGGAAAGATTCCTCAGCGAAGCATGAGGATGGCAGAAGAGACTGTTGGGAGATTTGTGGTGTGAGGAAAGGGTATGAATAGCCATGTCAGAAGTGGGAAAGGGAAGAGGCTGAGGAATCTGGTATGAGCCCCAGGGCTCCAGGAGGTATTAGGGCCCACCTGACATTACCAGTATGAGTTTAAAGTGCGGCCAATGGGTGAGATATGAACACCTCTAGAAACTGCCAATAGCAACGTGGACAAAAACGAACCAGAGAAAGAAAGCCACAAGTCTAAGCCTGTTAAACAGTTAAGAGTTCAAACTCAGTAATCAAATCTGTATCATTGGGTTCTTTAAAACAAATCTTCCTACACCTTGCAGTGTATGACTTAACTTTTACTTAACACAAATCAACTTTAAAATTAGTAGTAGAGATTTTTAAAATGAAAAAGTTTTGCTACTACAGTAACATATTTAAACACCCTGAAGGAAAAGAAACGAAATGTCAAGATATTTGATTAAAAGATAATTTGTAAATTAAAGTAGTATGCAAATACGCAACTTGGAAGTCATGCAGCGTTTTATTTAAGAAAGCAGTAAAACCAAAGAAAACTGGTAAAAATGGTTTTAAAGAGAGTACAAATTCTTTTCTCAGTATGCTGATTTTAGACTTCAGCAGGATCTTGGATCTTTTTTTATCTTCTTAAACACACGAAAAGCACGTGATTAGAAGAAATACAATTTCCAAACAATCATCTGTAGCATGGCCTGAACAGATGAGAGGAAAATCATCATCTTGAAAGGAGGAAGTTGTTTTGTTTTCTTATCTCCGGCTCCTTCTCTCTGCCCCGACGTGTGCTTGGCCTGCCCTCCCCCTCCGCCAAGCACTCAGTCCCCTCTGCTGTCCTCAGGTCACTCTTCTCTGCCTAAGAGCCCAATGTGTTTGTTTCTCTATGTAATTGCCATCAACATCTTGGCTTTAAAAACCCTACTGGAAAGGAGCAAAGCAAACAATTTTCACAAAGGTGTCGATGGCTGTTAATCATCTTAATTGCTACTGTTTCTCTGCAGGTCTTAATTCAAAAAGAGTCTCTCCTTCCTTTTTTTTTTTTTCCTATCATTAATGGTGAAACTTCAGGCATTCATGATTTCCAGGAAGGTGATGTGGAGAGAAGAAAATTAGGAGACTCCTCTAGAATACTTATACTTAAGGCAGCCCCAGATCTTATAAAGAGAAATTTCTTTAAAATATAATAGCATACATTTCTGAATTAAATATTTGTTTTTAGGATTTAAAAGAAAGATGCTTCCCAGATTCTTGAAACACAGCATAAAGCTCAGTGCACTGTGCAGTATTTCCTGTTCAAAAGCTTTGCAGGCATTCATCTGAAGCTTCTTCAAACACTGTGAATACAGTTATGGCCAGCTGGTGCCAGATTTTAATATATAACGGTACTACCCTGTCAACAAAAATATTCGGAGAATTCATAACAAACATTTATATTTAATTTAATATATTTACAGAACTTTCAAACTTGAAAATCTCTGTATTTTACCTTAAAATAAAAGTATAAATTTAGAGTCATAAACAAAATTCATGATTTCCATTTGGGCCATGATGGAGTAACTGGGGCCATACTTAATCAGCTGTAGTAAACAGCCAGAAAGCTGGACAAGACACAGGAAACACAGCTTTAGGATGCTGGGAAACAAGAAGCACAGGACTGTGACCCTGTGAAGGGAAGGGAAGCAAATGCGACAAGCCCTACAATCACCCCTGCTCCCGTCGCAGGGCACATTCTGGGCCTGAACACAGGGAAAGGGAATCGAAGCACAGCATGGCAGTATTGTGAGTAGAGGAAACACAGACTGGAGTTTGGGAATCTGAGGAAGCTGGAATTTGTAGGCACCGAGTACTGGGCAGGAGGAAGCCATGTAGAGAAGGAGCTTCAGAATCTACCTGGTTTCCTCTTGAGTCTGTTGCTGACAGTTTGGGTAAGTAAAGGGTTAAGTTCTGTAAGGCCAAGTAAACAGTGACTGGTGAGCTTTAAGATGAACAATTCCCAAAGCTCACACAAATCTGGGAGATATTTGAGTTTTAACCGGCCAGAATGAAGAGTCATCACGGAACATACACAAAGGCCACACTTTAGTCATGGGGTTAAACTAGCCTTAGAGTAAAGAAAACCTCAAGTCAGTTCTAACAAAGTTCAAGAACAAGCTTCAGATGGGTCAGACTGGTCACCTGCAAGTACTTAATTGCTTCCTAAACAAAGCCGAATATTTTTTAAAGGAAGTCAAGAAAACCCAGCTTCCAACAATATACATTTTACAGTGTTGATCATCCAATAAAAGATAACTAAACACGAGAAGAAGCAGGAATATGTGAGCCGTAAGCAGGAGAAAAATCAGTCAACAGAATTAGACCTAGAAATGATAGAAATGGTGGAATTAGTGGACAAAGATCTTAAACTACCCATTAAAACAGACCCAAATATTTAAACAAAAAAATTGAACACAGCAAAGAGAGAGACAGAAGTATAAAAAAGAACTAAATAGCCTAGAGCATAGTAATATACTATCTGAAAGGAAAATTTCACTGGTAGGATAAATAACAGATTTGGCATTATAGAAGAAAAGACCAGCAAATATGAAGAAAAAGCATTTTAAATATCCAAATGATTGTCAGAGAGACAAAAGACTGGATTTAATGAATCTCTGAGACTGTATCACATCATCTAACATATGTGAAATTGCATACCAGGAGGAGAAGGTTTGGGAAAATATTTGAAGACATAATGGCTGAAAATTTTCCAATATGAAGAAAACTATAAAACCACAAGTTGAAGATCAATGAACAACAACAACAAAACATAAACACAAAGGAAATCACATCAGAAACATCATAATCAAATTGCAAGAACAGAAATAACGTCTTAAAAGCAGCCAGAGAAAAAGATACATTAAAAAGATTGGAATAAGGATATTTCATCTGAAACTATGCTAGTCAGAAGATAACATAATGAATCTTTAAAGTGCTGAAAGCAAAAAAATCTGTCAACCTTGAATTGCATAATTAGTGAAAACATCATTCAAAACTGAAGATGAAATACAGATATCTTCAAACAAAAATCTGAGAGAATTTGTTACTAGCAGACATGCACTACATAAAGGGTTAAAGGCAGTTGCTCAGGCAGATGGAAAATGATGCTAAATGGAAACCTGGATCAACTCAAAGGGATAAGGGGCACTGGACATAGAAAATACGTGTGTCAATATAAATTGTCCTTTTTCTCATTTAAAATTTCTTTTTAAGACAATTTACTGTTAAAGCAAAAATAATAAAAGTATATTGTGGAGCTTACGGTATAGGTAGAAACAGGTATAGGGAAATGGAAGTATACTGTTATTAAGATACTTACATTTTATGTAAACTGGTATAATAGTATGTGAAGGCAGATGTAACAAAGCACATATAAAAAATGAAGAGGTAGGGCTTCCCTGGTGGCGCAGTGGTTGAGAGTCCACCTGCCGATGCAGGGGACATGGGTTCGAGCCCCGGTCTGGGAAGATCCCACATGCCGCGGAGCGGCTGGGCCCGTGAGCCATGGCCACTGAGCCTGCGCGTCCAGAGCCTGTGCTCCGCAACGGGAGAGGCCACAACAGTGAGAGGCCTATGTACCGGGGGAAAAAAAAAAAAAAAAGAGAAGAGGTATATCTAATATGCCAATAGTAGAAATACAAATGGCAAAATAATAGATTGAAACCCAACAACATCAATAATCACATTAACTATTATAAATGGTTTAAAAACACCATCTAAATCACAGAGATTGTTGGGCTGGATTTAAAAGAAGGTGTAAAAAACAACAAAAAAAGAAGGTGTAACTACATGGTAATTTCAAGATAAACACTTTAAATATTTTAAAATGTTAAAATTAAAAGGATGAAGAAAGATGTACCACACAAACAGCAATTACAAGAAAAGTAGAGTAGCATAGCTAATATCAAAGTAGGTCTGAGAACAAAGGAGCTTAGCAGAAAATAAGAAGGATATTTCATAATGATAAAAAATTTAATTCATAAATATAATATAAAAATCCTAATGTGTTTGTACCTAATTTCAAGAGCTTCAAAATACATAAGGCAAAGACTGACAGAACTGAAAGGAGAAATAGGCAAATCTACAAATTACAGTTGAGGGTATTTCAACCCTCTTCTCTCAGGAGTTGATAGAAAAAGTAGATAGAAAATTGGTGAGGATATAAATGATCTGAAAAAGGCTGTCAAACAACTTGACCATTAATTAAGAAAGACCATATTCTAGACCATACAACAAATTTCAATAATTTTATTTAGTTATAATTATATAACTAAATTATAAATCCGTAATAGAAATGTATCTGATGTCCCTAAAATGTTTGGAAAATAAACAATATAATCTAATTTTTATGAGTCAAATGAGAAATCACAAGGGAACTTAGAAAATATTTTGAAATTAATGAAAATGGAAGCATAGTATTTGTGGAATGGTAGTCAGTGCCTAGTGGAAATGTTTAGCTTTGAATTATTTTATTAGCAAAGAAAGAAATTCTCAAATGAATGATAAAAGTTTCCCCTGAAGAAGCTTGAAAAAGAATAGCAAATTAAAGAGAAAGTAAGCAGAAGAAAGAAAATACTAAAAATAAGAGTGAAAAACAATGAAATAGAAAATAGAAAAACAAAAGAGAAAATCAGTGAAACCAAAAGCTGGTTCTTTGAGAAGACATCAATAAAATCAATAAACCTCTAGACAGACTGATCAGAAACAGAAGAAAGAAGGTATAAATTACCAGTATCAGGAATGAGAGAAAGGGGACATCACTATCACATCCTACAGACATTAACAGAGCAATAAAGAAACACCGTAAACATATCGTCAAGTTTTCTTCTTATTTAGACAAAAATGCATAAATCTCTTATATGATACAAATCACCAAAAGTAACTCAAGAAGAAATAGAAAATTCAAAGGGTCCTATATCCCTATATGTGTTAAAACACACACACACACACACACACACAAAACCCTACTTACCTATATTCAGGCCCATCTGGCTTTACTAGTGAACTCTATTAAACACCTAAGGAATAAATAATATAAACTCTTCCAGAAAACAGAAGGCATAAATTACACCAGGACAACTGGTTAAAGGAGCAAAATGTTCCTTCACCAAAACATGGATTCTACCTCTCACCACAATCAAAAGACTTACACCATCAGTTCTCCCCAGTCTCCCTCTTCTCATGTCACCAATATTTTCTCCTACATCGACTTGTTACCATGTGATTATAAATAGGCTAGTTTTTCACACACACACACACACACACACACACACACCCCAACAGCCCTCCCCGAAATCCTGGTATATCCCTGTGATGGTTTCACAAACATTTACTTGAAACACCTCCTCTGTGTTGGGCACAGGATGCTCACCATGTGACCCAGCAATTCCACTTCTGGGTGTAGGCCCGGAAAACCCAAAACCACTAATTCAAAAAGATACATGCATCTCAGTGTTCACAGTAGCACTATTTACAATAGCCAAGATATGGAAGTAACCTAAGTGTCCATCGACAGATGAATTTGGATAAAAAAGATGTGGTACATATAGACAATGGAGTATTACTCAGCCATAAAAAAGAATAAAATAATGCCATTTGCAGCAACATGGATGGACTTGGAGGGCATTATGCTAAGTGAAATAAGTCAGACAGAGAAAGACAAATACTGTAATGATATCACTCATATGTGGAATATAAAAATACAACAAACTAGTGAATATAACAAAAAAGAAGCAGACTCACAGATACAGAGAACAAACTAGTGGTTACCAGTGGGGAAGGGGGCAAAATAGGGGTGGGGGTTAAGAGGTACAAACTATTATGTATAAAATAAGCTATAATGATAAATTGTACAACACTGGGAATATAGTCAATATTTTATAATAACTATAAATGGAGTATAACCTTTAAAAATTGTGAACCACTATATTGTACACCTGTAACTCATAAAATATTGCACATCAACTATACTTCAATTAAAAAATAAAGAAAATGATTTAATGAAGTTGGGGAGGAGACAGATATGTGAGTAAATAAAATACAGCATAAGCATCATGAGAGAGCTATGCACAGGGTGTTATTAGAGAAAAGCTACCTGAGATACTTCACATCAGAGGAGGCTTTTGTAAGGAGACAAATATTAAAGGATGATGGTGGCAATGATGGTGATGATGGTGTTGTTGATGGTGATGGTGATGATGATAGCAACAACAAGTTAACTAGTATTTATTTTGCTCCTACTCTACTGTTAAATGCCTTACCCAAATTAACAGATCTAACCATTCAAAACCTCTGTGAAGTAAGCACGATTATTATCCTCATTTATAGAAAAAGAAACTGAGAGATGAAAGGGTAAAAAAAAACTTGCTCAAGGTTACCAGCTGGGAATGAATAGGAATCAACTAACTGAAAAAGAAAGAGAAGAAAATTCCAGGTGATAGTGGTAACAGGTACAAAATGGGTCTCCAACATGGTATATTTGAGGCACCATGCTTTCTTTTGTTCCTACCCAGCCATATTTCCTGAAAAGATAATCTCTACCCTCTGCCTCCATTTTCATTTAATCATTAATTAAGAAGTATATACTTGCTTAATGTAGAAAAACAGACAGATATATATTTCCTGTAATCTATCATCCAAAGTAACAACGTTGACATTTTAATGAGTTTTTATGTGCTATATATTTGCATGTACCAGGATATTTCTGAAGTCTTTTTTCCCCCCATTATTTTCTTCCCATAATATCCAGCTCACCCTTTTTAGGGAGTGGTCGATGATAAATCTTAACATAAGATGATGTTTTCTATAAGGTTTTAACCTGAAAACTTTTTTTTGCTTTTTAGAAAATTCTTAATTTCATATTGGAGTACAGTTGATTTACAGTGTTGTGTTAGTTTCAGGTGTACAGCAAAGTGATTCAGTTATACATATACATGTATCTATTCTTTTTCAGATTCTTTTCCCATACAGGTTATTACAGAACATTGAGTAGAGTTCCCTGTGCTATATTATCTTGTGCTACCGAACAACACAAGATGATTTTCCTTTTTTAAATTGAAATATAGTTGACATACAATGCTTTGTTAGTTTCAGGTGTACCAAAGAATGATTTGACAACTGCATGCGTTATGAAATGATCAGCATGATAAATCTAATAACCATCTGTCTCCATACAGACTCCAGTCTCGGCCCGCACAGCATGGCCGAGGGAACTGAGGGGGACAGAGCCAGGCAAGTGAGACACCCGGGAGGCTGCCCCCCCAGCAAACCTGGCCAGCATCAGGGCAGCTCCGTATGCTGGGAACCGGGGCAAAAGCACTGGGATCAGCTTTGCCTCTTTGCATTATATAGGCAACGTTTTTCCATGTAATTAATATTTCAAAGTATAATTTTTTAAAGCTTAATACTTGATTATATGAGTTGAGAATCAAAAATGTTCCCACAAATGTAGGAAAAGGCGTTCTGCAGCCACGTCGCAAGGAGTCATCCGAACCGGTTTTAAACCTGTGATCTCACTTTGGTGAACGCAGTTTTGCAAGCCAACCAAGAGGTGCCAGCCCCTCACTCCTGGCAGCCGGCAGCCAGAGGCAGACCCACCCCAACAAGCACAGCTGCGAGGCTCGGCCAGGCAGCACGTCCCACGTAGGGCTCTGGAAGTCCCCACCCCAGCCCTGAGCTCTCCGCCCGAGCCCCCTAGCAGGTCAGCAGTCTGCTGTGCTCAGAGGCTGTGCCTGACCGCTAAAGCTGTCCCTTATGATAATAAGCAATAAATTCAGCTTTCTCTTTTTATTTCAGATACTGAAAGGATACAGCATGACTTATCGAACCATACTCCTCTATTACTGGATATTGAGATTGTTTCTAATACCTTATCATTATAAGTAACCCTTCCACCTAAGATGTCCCCTTGGCAACATCAAAATCCAACATCTCTGCAGTTCTGTACACTTTGGGGGTAGGAGCTGTGCTACCGTCGTTTATCCCCCCCCGCAGCCCGCCCCACACCAAGGCCAAAGTCAAGTGCCTTTCAAAGAGCAGATGCTCGGTAACGGTTTGGTGATTGAAATTCTCCTCCTCATAGAGATTCTTAATCCACAGTCTACGGACAGGCTTTACGAGTCCATGGACACCCCTAACATTTTATGCAAAGTTTTAGGTTTACTGTATTCTTTTGGAAGAGGATCTAAATATTTCAACAGGTTTTCAAAGGAGTACGTGACCCAGAGAAGACTGAATGCCTCTGTCCCTGTGGCCTCACCACGTTTACCATGGAACTAATTCTGCCTCTCCATGGGTTTAAACCACTGCTTTTCCTTTAGTTTGTTGGTCTCTGATGTCTCCTCTGCTTTACCCAGTTCAGTTCTTTCTCAGTCTCACGCCGACAATGTTTTCCTGACTTGCCTCGCTGCCTCTGCTTCTAACCTACCCTGAACCCCTGCGGAAGAATCCTGTTTCCAAAGTCTGACCCCTTGGCCCGGTCCTCAAGGCCCTCAGTGATGCGGAGCCCACATCTCTCTCCTGCCTCAACACCCCAAGCACTAACTTCACCCTGTTAGGGTAGCTCCTCAAAGACAGGAATCTTTGTCTGTTCTATTAACTGATATATCCCAAGACCGACACATAATACAACCAATAACTGTTGAATGAGTGAATCAACATTTTCTAATATGGACTAATGGGGTTTTCCAGACTAGTTTGCTGCTTTGTAGACTCCATCTCTCTGCAAGCATAGCGTTCTTCTCTAAGCCTACCCGTGTACACACACAGACCAAATCAGATGCTGACGCTTTCTTTGCTCACATCCTTTAGAACTGATTCGGTTTCCTTCCTTCTGTACGTACAGGCCTCACTCCTGGTAATCTGCATGGCTGTACTGTAGTCTTTTGAAAATATGTCTTATCTTTCCCAATGGATTATGAACAGAGTTTGTGGCTCTGGCATTATTGCTGTGCCCTTAGTAGTTTCCTGGAAAATACTGTTTAATGAGTTAATGAAGAAAAGAGTGTATATGGTTTGAAATGGCAAGATTTTTGACAATTTTTGAAGAAAAAGATCGCTTTCTATTTCTTCATCTCCACTCAGCATATGAAAGGTAAGGTGGAGGAGAGGCAGAGTGAGAAGTTTCATGAGTATTTTAAAAATGTGGTTTACCATACTTTATTATCTCTTCTAAGAGGAGATAAAAGACATCTTGGAGCAGAATGGAAATTGAGCATAAATGTTTAGGAGAGAAAGCATCCATACTCTTTCTTGTCTTCGTAAATGTAGCTTATTTTACATGCCACAGACATTTTAAGACATTTTAAGATAATTCAAATATTACAAGAAAGTTGATTATAAAAATAACTTTTTAAAGGTATAATTTAATATCAATTCAAAGTATTACTTTTCTAACATTGCAGTTATAGTGATAACTTTTTCCAAACATCATATTAAATGACACAATTTTACTTAGTTAAAAACATGTAATTATGTCTTGCAGGCTATTATGCTTGTTCAAACAGAATATCCATGTTTTTAAGGAACTATCTTTACTTTCACTTCTACAACCTTCAATTTTCAGACTGGACTAAAAAAATCAATGTAGTTAATTTAAAAATTACATTAAAAATTAATATAATTAATTAAAAATTAATGTAATGTACATTTTCTATTTGTTGTTCATTTAATGAAATACTCATACTGCTTTGCCATTCATTGGACACAGTGTTTATTGAACTGAATGTTGAAAAAGGTTTAATCCATCCATGACGTGATCATACTAATTCTCTCAATCATATGACAATCTCCAAGGTCAACTACTTAATCGAGGATTAGTGGGGAGATGGTCATTTACAAGACTTCTGATGATCACATTTCTAATTTCAAAGTCCCTTTTTGAAACAACTAATTGGGACAGGAAATGAATGAACATTCGTCAAATCCATACTATGTGCCAGGTGAGAATACCCATATGAATAAGAGAAAGTCCCTGCTGTTGCATCCTAGAACATCTGAATCTTACTTTGAGTCAAGGTTAAGGTCTCAGTTTGATACAATCATTACAAGAAATGGTACCTAAAGACTCCTTTTTCTTTTCCATCATTATGTACAAATCCTAACTAGAGAAAAGGGCGAACTAGTCTAAATTGCAAAACACTCACAAATGTCATATTTAGTGATTCTTCAATTTTAAGTCACTTCTAGAAAATTGATTGAGTCATTTTATATGGTTGCTTTACCCAGAACAATAATCTAATAAATAGGAACCCCAAGTGTTTTGGTTTTTGTCACTGCCTATTTTTTTGTAAGAATCCCATGGAGAAGCTACATCCTCTATTATAGAAGGAAGAAACTGGACACTTTTGGAAAAGGGCTGTGATATCATTATCAATATCACTATTGATTATCTGCTCTGTAACTATGGGTGGATCCATTCTCAGAAAGAATGCCCAGATTCCTGAATTTGGCCCTATCTCTGAATATGCCAAATTAGTATTGGTTACGTCCTCTGTACAGACTTAGTAACTGTGGTCAGTGCTGTGAACTAAAATAATGTGCATTTAATGACAGCTAAACCTAAAGAATAACGTGGGGCAGCTGGTTGTCTGCCATCGCTGTAACTCACCGGGGCGAATTTTCTCACCACTGCAACATATATCCTTATGTGGCCTTAACACCCATAAATGATCACATAAGATTTACATGAACTTCCTTCCCACTACTGAATAAGAAAGCAAACTGTGAAATAAGCTTATGGAAATAGTTAAAGAATTAAGATCTAATCATATTTCAAAAGCTCACCCTTAGAGAAGCTCCCTGAAGCAGAGGCCACAGAAACTGAAACTCATGTATTACTTGGGCAGAAATACAAACTTTAGGAGAACGAAGGAGAAAAAAAAAAACTTTACTTTGCTCTAGGGAAGAAGCAACCATTCTCTGATGTGCAAAGAAGAATTTATCATCAAAGGCCAAATGTAAATGGGGCCAATTAACTTTTTTAAGGTTTTCTACCTCCTATAATATTTTTATGTCTTTGCTACTCTTATGCTTTATACCAAAATCTAATGTTGCACGACTTGACAAATGTTAAAAGAAAATGACTACTGTATTTAACTAATTTCAACATACATAATACACATTTTAAATATGTTTAATATATTTATATATGAGTGGCACATTTGTTGGTACGGTATTTTTAGGAAGCAGATAGAAGATGTATTTCTCGTTTTTTTTTTTAGAAGATGTATTTCAAATACGTGACTTCAGACATCAGAAAATGTTGGCACCGTCCAATGATCAAATAATGTTAATTGAATTATTGGTCAAGTAATAAATTACTTCAAATAAGCTTTGAATCTAGGAGTTAGATGTCCTGATTTGGCACGCTCATAAATCCCATTAATATTTTACTTATTTTGGAAAATTTTCTACATTTTTGGCTCACTTGTATACAAAGACATGTAATGAATATTAATTGGGAAGTTTATAAAATAAAGTATTTACAGGAAGTTGCTATGTTAGGTTTGTTGGCAGTTTGATATAAAGCAGTAATCTCAATACTTAACGAAAGCTTTAGTTCCTTTCCTGGATAATTTGGACGTTCGAGAAGGTGCTGAAAGGACATTCTTGAGATTTAGTCGTTAGACCTTCCTTATTAAAAAAGGCCTAGAGCATATGTAGTTTTCTAGGGTCATCTATACCGAGAGAATTCCCATACCACTTCATTGAAAACTAACATCCGAAACATTTGACAACAAGTATGATGCCCCATCCCCCATTCAGTCTGCACACAGAAGGTCTTCAGTTAGTTTTGTTGCTGTGCAGGTGAATTTCCCATCACCCAGACCCTCAAAGCTGCTCCAACCATGTTTTTCATCAACCCAAGATGCTTTGATTGACTAGTCCAACAACTGTTGCCAAATGGAGCATGGTGGTTACGAGCACGAGCTCTGAAGTTAAACCAACCTCGGTGGTGTGACCACAGGCAAATTATCTGACTTTCTTGGGAATTATTTTATAATGTGCAGAAAAGGTGGACAGTAAAGATTAAACTGGACTGAGGTTTAGCCATGTAGGAACGGGGGTGGGGGGGGCGCTCAAGATGGCAAGGGATCAGAGAGCGCTGAGTAAGCACTGGCAGGAGGATAAGGCCCGTTCTTTATGCGGGAGGGAGCAGGAAAAACAAAAGGCGAGGCAAGAGCGATCAAAAGGAGAGCTTGGTAGACGCAGATCCTGAAGGTGAACTAGCTGAGTGAGGTTCCGGTCTAAGGCACGGGTGCATTGTTTGATGGATAAAGTGGAAGCAAGACAGAACTTACTTTACTAAAGCTGAGCTTACGAAACTGTAAGGTCAGGTATTAGAAAAGTCAGCTATCAAAATCAGTCTTTTGTAGCCAATTCTCGTTACTCTTTCTTTCTTGTTCTCCCACTTGAAGTCCATAAAAGTAACAATTTGCTTTATTGAAGAAGCAATTTTCTTCCTGACGTGTCCCCAAGACTGGGGTGCTCGGCTGCTTTTGCCACTGCTAGTAATATTTATTTGTCGATGTTTATAATTGACACATACAGGACATATGTATGCTTATGAAACACGATACAGAACCCTCTTAAAACGACCATACAGCTTAACATCCAGCATTGCAAGTGCCGGCGCTTCCTTCCCCACTGCATCCCCTGACTCTCCTGAGGATTAGCGCTCTCTTGAATTTTATTTATTGCCTGGCTTAAAAAACAGTACACGTGCAAGTGCCTCTAACGTATTATTTGGTTTTACGATTTTCAGCTTTATAAATCCATGTTAATTGTGCTCCATGTAATTTCCTGAAATGTGCGGTTTCTCACACAGCACTGTTTCTAAGACTTATTCACGATGTTTCATTTGAAGCTGAATTTCGTCCATTTTCACGGCTTTAGTATATCCCACTGTGTGAACAGACAAAAATCATGCATTCATCTGTTAACGGGCATTTGAACTTGGCAAGTTTC